AACAACAACAACAACAAAGGATTAACGAACTCCACGAAGCGAAAGGAAGATCTACTAGATATTAATTAAATTATACATATATCAATTCATGTGAATATGACTGAAAAGATGGTGTCTATTTACTTGTGACCACGCTGTGTAGCTATTTTTATTAATAATGTGTCTCCTAATGGGTCAGATATAAGTTTGCGGACTTAAAAATACATCATAAACGTAGTAGATAATTCGGCAAACCAAAGAGTGTAAATATAAGATAACATTTACAAAATATACAGTTTACTTCTACAGTGTTATTGAAAGTACCCAAACATCGCTTTGAATATTAACCTTAAAATATTAAATTTCCAATAGTTTAAAATTAAGAACATTAAAGTAAATTTAACAGGCCCACGAGCCTTTGTATCATTTTTGTTGAAAACAATAAAAACTACCCAATCCAGTTTTTCTTAATTTGAGCTGAAATTTTGGCTAGAAGAAAGCATTTACCGCACTCTTTTAGCGTTGGGTTTGCGAAAAGTGATTTGAAGTGGTAAGGTGACTGAAATCCGTCAGCGCATCACGAGCTTAACGGCCAAGCACAAGAAGCATAGAAGTCTCCAAATGACACACAGAGGTATTCAGGAACCGTCTAGAACCATCTTTATAGATATTGTGCAGGAAGGAGAGTACAATATTATGCCTATAGCTGCTCATCCTACTGTTGACTATCGTGATGCTTCGATCTTCCCTACCTAACGCAGGTGAAGTCGTTCGTATCTCAATTTAAAGCTAAGCAAAAAGGTGATAGCAGAAGCATAAAAGGCTGGCAGTTGCTTAATTAATGATGCTGAGAATGTGGCTTTATTGATATATACTGAACTTACTCCCAGCGGGTAAACCTTAGTACTAACTAGTATGGAGACTTGGGGAAACTGTATTTCACTTAAAAAAATATCAATTAACAAACGAAAACTTGTCTCGAAAAGATACAACCAAAACCACCCTCTGTGAGAAATTTCGGATTGAACGGTGTGTATTCATCTCCATCTTGTTTCTGTACGTTTTGGCATTGCTATCCCTACCTCATACTTAATTTTTGCATAATCTTTTTTAATACTTGCCAGTAAGATGAGGTAGACCAACACACTAACTTTGTAGGATGATATTGACCATTTCTTTGTATTTCAGGCAAGTAAGAAAATTCATTACCGGCTTATCCAAGAATGGAATGAGAGTTCCTGTTGAACTAGAATGCCAGTGACTTAAATGTAGGAGAAGCTCAATCTCAGGTTCAAGATATCATGGTATGCGCGTGTGTGCTCACGTATGTAAGATGTACATTAGCCATAGGCTGAGTGTAATTACTGCACAATTAAGAAAAAATGTATTTTCATTTTTTACTTTATCGATAATTTTGCCAGTACTCTTAATGATGGCATTTCATTATCATGCTGGACCATATTTTCATAATGTAGATTTAGAACTTGAAACAATCAAAGGGCATTTTACCATCATTGGGAAAACTACATGAGAATGCTTTTGTTTGTTGATTTTGTGTGCAAACTTGCAATATGGGATATCTGTGCTGTTTCTATTGTGGATATCATATCATGAATTTTAGCAGTATTGGTCTTTAAGCTTACCATTGAGTAATCAGGGGTTGGATGGAATTCAGAAGGGCTCTTACAAAACACTAGAAGAGCATATTCATCCAATATCCCAACTCAACTCACCATGTTGTGCAACAAGCCACATTAACAGCAGACTTGGATGGAAGCAGCATAACTCCCGATACATGAAGCCAATATAAATATTAGTGGATCTGCTAGAAGAACATCTAAAGGATTTGGAAGGAATGATTAATGAAGACACCAATATGTTTGGCTAGGAAATACATCACTGATGCAAAATCTGTGGTATGATAATTTGCAGAAGCAGGAAGAGATGCTGTGTCAAGACTACGGTTTATGTAAATATGCATTAGTGGTAGTTAAGCAGCTGGTGATTCTGGGGTTCATCAGCTACACATTTTTGGGAGGGATATCCTGAACCATATATAACCTACATTATGGCTTCTATTGGCCAAAGTTGTAGTATGACATGAGTGGTGATGCAAGCATCATAGTGTTTGTATTTGAGAGTGAAATTAGCAGGTAGAATATTAAAAGGAAAGTGATGATAACATGTATGGCTAGAAAAGTTTGGAATCACTGACTCTAATCAGAAATAGACAGAGATGACAAGTTACTGAAATAACATAAAAATTAAACTTCGTTTAAAAAATCCTGAAAGTTCTTTCCATGTTAGCTCCATAGCCGATTCTCACTAACAACACTGAATTAACAACAACAACAAAAAGCACACAAATAGGATGCAACTGAAATAGACTCCAACAACAACAATGGTCAATAGCACAAAAATCAGATTTTTCTTCGTTGTTGGCTGGTTTATGAATAAGATTTGTCTATATTATACTCACCAAGACTAAGGTTAAAATGGCCGGGATCTTAAGCAAACACTTGCATATAACATGCATATAGAAAGCCCGAGAAAAGTGAATTAATAATAATTTCTGTATTTCAATGTTAAGCTTTGTTTGTTTGTAATTAAGCACAAAGCCACACAATGGGC